ATATTACATGGGAGCGCGGAGATAAAGATTCATCTTGGAGCGTTGAGAGGATCTCTCACGATTGAGCGTACCAAAAACGTCAATTTTCGAAATTAAGAAATATAGGTATTTCATAGATAATTTTATGATACATTTTATTATTCATACCGCAATGTATTTAATTTCTAGTTTATTTAACACAAGAAGACCTTATAACAATTTCGGAGCAAATAGCAGCGGGGATGGAAGAAGTCGCTAAACTCAAATTCATTCATCGWGAYTTGGCCACAAGAAATTGCCTTGTCGGACCTCAACTAGTTGTCAAGATTGCTGATTTTGGGATGTCTCGAGATATCTACCAATCGAATTATTACAAGGTAAGATTAATTGAATTTCTTCGTCGTCCTCTCAGGGTAGGGGCGTATGCTGAAGAACGGAAATTTTCACAGCATTAGAAAAATGTGTCAAGTGTTATGTTACGTTCAAACGCAGCAAATCCTAGTGACGCAACTTTTAGGCTCACGATGTCCATCAACCGAGATGATGCACCCTAAAGCCAACATCTTACAGTGCGGGAAATGATGATGATGAATGTTGCTGATAATTGATGATAATGATGATGATGATGATGATGATGATGATGATGATGATAATGATGATGATGAATAATGATAATTATGATGATGTTCAAGGTGATGATGGTCGTTTAGCGATAGCACGCGGCATTCTTTTGAAACAATAGTCTTCTTCACGGTTCCCTGCACCATTGAAAGGTAGCCGTGCCTTTACATCTGAGCAATACTACCATTGAGTGTGCAATGATAGAAACCTTCTTTCACACCTACAGACAATTATTCACAGGTATCTATCATTGCACGCTCAACGGTTGTCTTTCTTCGATGTAAAAAAGCATGGCTACCTTTCAAGATGGCGCGTAATCGTGAAGGAGACTATTTGTATCTTTTCTTTGTCTTCTRTAGATGAGCCGTGAAACGCTTCTCCCTATACGATGGTTGGCCCCCGAGGCTTTCCTATACGGCAAATTTACGATTATGTCCGATGTGTACTCGTACGGCGTTGTACTGTGGGAGATTTATACATTTGGATTGCAGCCGTACTATGGTTACAGCAATACAGAAGTGACGGACTTTATTAAGAAGGTAAAGTTATAATATTTGGGTTTAAAGATCAATCAATGAATCATTCATCAATCAATCAATCAATCATCAATCAATCAATCAAGCAAGCAAGCAAGCAAGCAATCGATCCATCAGAGCTTCATTCAATCAATCAATACCGATTTGTTATTTTCAAGGGCATTCACCTCGGTAAACCGGACATCTGCCCGGATTTTATGTACAGCATTATGAAAGATTGCTGGGCTAAAGAACCTACAGATCGACCGGACTTTGCTCTTATTCAGCAACGTCTTCGGGATCCATATGGAGATTACGATGTACCAAAATCGACCTCTGATACTGACTTAATGGATGGGAAAACAGTCGAACCTCGACCCGAAAGCGGTAGCCAAGGTAATGTACCACCTATTATCCCGGGCCTCGTCCGTTYACTGCCGGTTTATAATTAGATGATTACATAATTGATTAGACTCGTCCCAGGCTACTCTCAGTCAGTTTAGATCCAAGATGACGGACGTTGCTGAGGCAAATGAAAAGTGACGTTACTTCGAGCGACTGAGAGTAGCCTGGGGAYGAAGCTAAGGAAAAATAGTGCATTTTCTGTGAAATCTCTGCACATTTTTACTAAGGCCTTTTTTCGTTTTATTGCAAATGTCTKCCACCTGACAGCACTATTATCGATATTATTATTTTTTATAGATTTTGGTGATTACGATGTACCAAAAAGCAACGAAGAGCATAGTTCGTATGATATTCCACGAAGTCCAGGAGATGTTGACCTATCGCAGAACTACGACATTCCAAAGTCCCCAGTCCAAGAAAAACAGGAACCGGAACCGGAACGTGCAGAGGAAGTCCACGAAGAAAGAAGAAAACCTGATGATGAAGTGGATGTTGGTGATTCACGAGCAGGAAGAAAGAAAGCTCCTTTGTATAAAGCACAGCCCTCGATTGAGGTCTGACTGGATTTTCCACCAGATTTTCCACCAGATTTTCCACCAGATTTTCACCAGATTTCCCACCAGGTTTTCCAGTGGGTTCTCCACCATTCTACATAAAGATTCCAGTTATGCAAGCTAACCACTCTAGTTAACGTACATCAGCTTATTTTTTCAAAGTCTTTTTTTTTAATTCTTTTATTTTTACTTTTGTGAAGTTCTTTCTCAACTCTATATTGTCGAGATACGTCCAATTCTTATCTTATGTCATAAAGACGCTTGCATACTGTAATAATAATAATTCATGCATGCAGGGGGAGAGCTCACAACAAATATAGGTTAATGTCTTTTAATGTTGGTATCTCCTCTGAATCTGGATGTACTAATGATAAATATCAATATCCTTCAGGCAAATCCTTACCCAGGACATACATACAAAATCTATGGATACATACAAAATCTATGGATTCGATAAGTTTATCCACCTTTTCGTACAACCGGACTCGGAATTTGAACTTTTAAAGTTATATAATCACTAGTATTTTGACTTTTGAGGAGAAATTTCTCTCACCGGCCGTGAAGTTCATTAGGTAGTGGCGAAGTTGTTGTACGTCCTTCATATATTTCATACAATTTTGTTTTATTTATTTCCCTAAAAAGAAATTACCAAAAAACTTACTTCAAAATTCTCTTTTTTGAGAGGGTATAAGCCAGGCATGATYGCCTCTATCTAGTAAGAGCTTCACGGTTGACAAAGCTTCCTAAAGAGGCTGTATTTTTAGAAGACGAATACTGCACAAATTAGTTTTAGGTTAATGGGTGGGTAAGGGTATAAATATTAATATCGAGAGATATTTAGTGTTAATGTTATATTTTTATTTTTTTCTAGTGAGTAATCTCACTTAACAAGCGACGCGAGACAGAAGTGTCGCCGAAATACACCGTGATCAGGTCGGTTGTACGAAGGGGGAGGGGGGGTGAGGGATAGCGACATCCAACTACCGGGTAAATTCTTATCCGGCGAATAAAATCCATACATAATCTAGAGTGGATAAATCCCGCTAGATAACAATATCCCCCCCCCTTCGTACAGCCCCTGTGTCAGAAGTCATAATTCCTTTATTCTGATTGKCTTCCTATCGGGCTGTATTCAATTTAAGAAATACAGCGAGTTTTGGTTTTTCATCAAAAATCTAGTATTTTTACTCATTTYCTACTCTTTGTATATCACTTTTTTTAACTTTCGTAAAATAAATACAACTTGATATCTATTTTAAAAATCCTTATATATTTGCTACCAGGCTGTTGGAGGAACAGTCCAGTCTCGGACCTTTCTGTCCGCTCCGTTAAGCTGAGGTCGCGGGTCGAAAAGAGAGGCCAGTACTGGACTATTGAAGGCATAGCATTTCGTAAACCGTGATCCAAAACGGTCGAAAGGGGACGGTCTGAAATCTCTGCTAGAAGGGTAAAGTTATAATATAGACTCAGTTTTGTTTTTCAATCTAGGGTGGATCTAGGGTTTTATTGAAGCTATGGAATCCCAATCGCATTGCTAAGCTATAGTCTGGAAAAAATTGCGCACTTTGAAAGGTTGCAAATTTGATGTAAATATTATGTCATTGTCCAAAATGATGTCAATTTGATGTGGTTAAAATCATTTCCATCAAATTTACATCATTTTAGACACTTACATARTATTTACATCAAATTTACAACCTTTAGAGTACACGATTTTTTCCAGTGATACTTTGAAAACTTTTAGGATAATTCACCCTCTAAAATGCGTTCTGATTGGTCAGGAACTTACAGTTTGTTCCATCAATAAACACACGCAGTCTCGAGGGAAAAAGTAACTTTACCTTTGACACAATCAAGCAATAAATCAGGGGTTTTCCGCATTCTTGTACCAAGACCTTTTTCAGTTTCCAATTTCTATTGGTAAACTGAGAAAGATCTGGGTACGGGAATGTTTTTTTTCGTAGTTTTGATCGATAAAGTAAAGCAAATCATCTATAATTAGGAAATATTGTTGATGGCCATTCTTGTAGACACATGTACGTATTCTATAGTCTTCTTCACGGTTCCCTGCGCCATCTTGAAAGGTAGCCGTGCCTTTGCATCGAAGCGAGACAACCGTTGAGCATGCAATGATAGAAACCTTCTTTCACACCAACAGACAATTGTTCACAGGTATCTATCATTGCACGCTCAACGGTCGTCTCGCTTCGATGTAAAGGCATGGCTACCTTTCAAGATGGCGCAGGGAACCGTGAAGGAGACTAATACTCATGCAATAAATAACTAACCGTCTTTCTACAGAGATGGAWCTTGTGAAGGAGCCGGATGAGGTGGAGCTAGGGGGTGATTGAGGTCTCTTTGGTTTCCTGTGTTACGTAATTAAAAAAATAGGCAGGGCATTAAGAGAGTTAGTATAAACTTCGAGTTTACTGCGTTAAAATGGCAATTCTAGAAATTGCTTTCCTTGGAAGTTCTAGACCACAACACGCACCTGGCATAGCACTTTGAAACCATAAAAGCTCCTTTTGAATGGTGGACGGTGATAGAAAGACCCACAATGCATTTCTCTCTTGGAATACACTATCTTCAGTATTCAACGTTTTCTTAATTAATTAGCTGTAAACACCCAAGTCCCGAGGTATTGTGTTCTCCGCACTTTACGTCAAATTTACTCTTTTAATTCCTTTTGTAAAAATTTCAAAAGAATAAATTTGACGTCAAGTACTGAGAACTCAATACCACGGGACTTATTAAAAGGGTATATATGCTGCAAGGAACTGAAAGCATCAAGTGGCGATCAACTAATTACATTGTCTATAAATACACAACAGGCCAGCAGGCGGCGATTCCCAGGGGCCAAGGAATGTACCTATTGGACATGTTTGATCATTCCTCCCCTGGGGTCCTGTCGAGAGTCGCCTTGATCCCCGTGCCGGGCTACAGTAAACATATCCGTCTGAAAGATTCGGAAACTTGGAATTTTTATCCACGACATGCGAGTTCTTAGAGTTTTGTAATTTAGCTGTAGTCAAAGATGTTTCCGCCGGAAATCAGGACATATATAACTTTGAACTTTACAATGTGATTACAGTGATTTGATTGACATTTGATTGACGTTTATCTGATTAGTTTTAGAACATAAAGTAGTATAGTGTATCAAGATAGAGAAAACCACGCCGGTTTCGCATGTTACAGAAGTTTGATCAGTTTTTCAGTGCTAACCAGATTTGCTAACCAGTTTGCTAACCAGATCATCTACAAGACTAGATACCCGCCACAAAGTAAGAACATTGATCTTATGTTAGTATCGTTTGGTAAGAATTATATGTAACTATTTTGTATGCATGCCTTTARATCGAATAAAGTAAAGCAAAGTAAAGTAAAACAAACCAAACAAAACCGAACCAAATATACGATTTGTGGCACACCCATGTTTTTCAAAGAAACAAAAGACATCAGCTTTTGTATGTGTTGACTTATAAACTCATGATAAATTCTCGAACGTTTTCTTCGATGAAATGTTTTTACTGTCATTTAAAATTTATTTTTACATATGATTTATTACTCTTATTCGCCTGATTATAGTTTTGCAATAAAACCCCAAAGATTGCTGATTTTTGTGTATTTTTTAATTAATATGGATTGTCATTTATCCTCTTCAATTGTTAACTTCACTATATTTAGATTTAATAATGTTTTGATAATCAATATTTAAATCCATTTGTACACTCAGTTTTATATCACTAAGAACTAAAATGTGGAACGTTCGAGTGTAATGTTGGAGTTCAGAGTTCTTTCAATTGTGTTCCTTTGAATCCCGGCAAATCCTTGGCAACAGCTAGTATCTGGCTGAATTTCAAGAGATTTTTGTCTGTCTGATATAAGAACTGTACACCTTTTCCTGTGATGATTTGGAAAACAATAACACGACAATTGAACAGCTCGGTGAAAGCCGTCACAGTACAACGAGTACATCGGTATTTGGCCGCAAACCAGCACTCAGCACCCATCCCACCCCTGTCAAATAATGAATCCACAGAAGAATGATTATCCAAACCATTTATCCTTTGCTAATTCCGGAGCTGAGCTCTTATTGGCTTGCTGCTCCCATAGGATTTTGGTGACGTCATATATTAGCATAGAACTTCACCGAATAGACTACCCCAATTAGATATTAGATATCTATAAGTGTCTTCATAGTACGATGGTCTAAGAGGGTAGCTAAAGATATGCTCTAGTGGGCGGCTACCCCCTCACTCCCTGGCCTTTTGGTTAAGACTAAGTTTTATGTTCACTCGGGATAGCGTGGAAGAGCCGAAATCTCTAACCGTAACGTAAGCCGATTCGACGCCTCAGCTTCATAGAATGTCTCGGGGGAATCGTCCCATCTTTTTAGTTTTTTTATTTTCATTATTTCTTATGTATGCCAGGGGGGGTTACATCTTCTCCTGAAGTGAAAGTCCTAAGTTCGAGTCATGCTGCTGGAATTTCTATTTTTTTTTTCTTGTTTCTTTTTGGTTTGTTTCTTCTTTTCTTTTCTTCTTTTCCTTTTCTTTTCTTCTTATTCTTTTCTGTTGCTGCTTTGTTTGTTTTTCTCTAGATATTTTTTCTTTTCAACTTAAAATACCAAGTACTCGCAAGGAACGCCTGCTACAATTATGACGGTTCGATCAGTTAACACGATGACATAATGACGAGAGGCCCCATAAGGCCTTTCGTCACAAAAATTGCTTCACTTGTTCTTGGAATGGTCAATACTAATTTGCAGACAGGAAGACTAATAAGACAAAAAAGCCTGCTCTCGTTACAGTAGCCTGCGAATAAGGCTAATACTGAACCACATGGGCGTCTGGAGCTGAGTTATGAGAAAGTATCTGAAAAAAGCTGCTCCACTGCACTAAAATTCCCCTCAGGAGCCTGTTTGATTGACTTCAATAAATCCCCCGATAATCTGCAATCAGGACGGGGGGATYCGCAAATCCGTCGAGAAAAATTCTTGAAATCCACAAGAAAAAATCGCCATCCAACAGTCCAACAGTGTCTTAAAGACCCATGTTCTTCCAAGAGTCTTTGCGATCGTCTCTATTGTTTTTCAAAAGATCTCCTGTCGAAAAGTGTTTTCTGATTGGTTCAAAATCAAAGATGATGAATTTTCGTATGTGAAAAAATCGCGCAAAGGTTSTTGGATCCATSTGGGCCTTTAAACCKAYYAAAAATATCAAAAATYCGAAAATCTAATTACTTTTTAAAGCAAACATTCCTGCTCTTGCATTTTTCTGTATTATTACATTATATAATTTTTTTTATTTTGATAAATTATCTTCAAATTTCGTTGTTTTTTTTTGACTCGCAAGTGTCCCGCAGACGACTCGCAGCTCAAAGACAWCTCCGTAATGCCACGTTGCGCGCATGCGTAATATATTTCCAGTTTTTATCACTAAMACGAAGAGAAATGAACTATTTACGTGGTTTTAAGTCTGTTTTAGGCAGTCCTTCGGCTGAAAATCAGCCTTCACCTCACGATACGGTAAGTATATTATCTAAATCTTTATTCTGAGGCCTTTTGAAGGGTAGATTTGRGTGATGCAGCGAGCTTTATTTCATTTTTTGCACACAGGTCGAAAGGCTATGTGATCGTGTCGACTCGTCAACATTACTKGAGGATCGGCGAGATGCTGTTAGAGCATTGAAATCACTATCAAAGGCAAGTAGAATAACTTGAGAAGAATACTCCATGGTTTCCCTTGATGGCATTAATATGGCCTATAGTTTTGACAATTTTGGAGTCAGCTGTTTTGYCTGCCAATGTTCTGACATTCAAATTATTATGGATTTGACGAAGATTTTCCTCTAACTTTTTTGCAATTTTACCATAATATAAGCATTGCAGTGGCAGTGCAAATATGATGAATTATAGGACATCAAATGAAAAAAATACTTTGATTACTTAACGGATTTGAAGATATCAATAGTTCAGCTGATCAAAACATACAGCTCACGTTTACAGATTTTCCAGTGAACTGTGAAATGTCGTTGTTGTAAGTCTTAATATAAATATTAGCAATTATTTTTGCGCAAAGATTTAATTTCTGAACAGATATGTTAATTTTTGATCAATTTTTCAGAAATTCAAGGTTGAGGTYGGCACACAAGCTATGCAGCTTTTGATTAAAGTGTTGCAGACTGACAGGTATTCAATGACTGTCCAGACAGTAAGCTGAGACAGACACCTCTAAACCTATGGTCMTARAAGTSTGTTTATTAGCTTTMCCGCAATGGCCACAAATTATTAGTGTGAACCAGAAGGCAGACTCTATTTGTCTCACGGATCTTTAACTCTTAAAGAAAATGACTCAGTGAAAATYACTACTTGAAAGTGGTAATGTCTGCTGGATTTCATGCCAAAGAAAGACACCATTCTTGTTGCACTATGATCATCATCATGTCTTCCCCAGTGGCTGTACCACAGCTGTAGGGCACTTTCCCTTAAAACGTTCTTCAACAAGGTTTAAGATAATGTCCTTGTTTAACTTTGTTTAGGAGTGATACCGAAATAGTTGGGATGGCACTAGAAACGTTATGCAATGTCATGTCAACAGAACCTCAAATACAAGGTAAAAATTGTTTGATCTTCTCCATAAACCTCCATAAATGCTGTGTAGTAGTATACTCTGAGACAATAAGCTAACTCCTGGGTCGGGAAAGAGGGTAGATGGGAAGGAAAGGACAATCATCCCTTTCCGTTAGACCAATTAAGATAGAAAAATAGGACATCAAGTTCTTTTAGGGTCTTGAAGTGACACAGTTCATTTTGGTCGTGTTTCCCATCCTAGTGACGCCCTTAAATGCTTCATGTACTATCAGAACAACAGTTGCAATGTACATGTAAACACTGGACTCATTAGCCTTCTGTCTTGAAGGGAATGACTTGAAATTACCTTTTCCTGCCAGTTAGGATATTTTTTTAATTTTCTGTTTTTTATGGAACTGGTTTGGAGGAAAATGTTGCCGATTGTCTTTGTAGGGCTATTATCAATGATACTTATTGCGAGTATGATGTTTTTTGTTGCATTTTAGATGAACAAACAACATTAAAGAATGGAACAGCACAGTCAGACTCAGATGTTGGGTTGCAGTTTACAGAAATTTTTATCAAAAATTCRGATAATGTTACTTTGTTACTGGGAATGTTAGAGGTAAATCTTGTTTTAGTTCATCCATTATCATCATTAATCCATCCATCCATTATTTTATATTTCCATTAATTTATTAATTATTTAACTAATTGATTATTCATTGTTTTATCCATATATCTGTTCATTCAACATTCAACTTGCTCATTCATCCATCCTTTTGCCCATTGGTCATTGCTTAAGYATATAAATGACTGTCATTCCAGGAATATGAGTTCCATGTTCGATGGCCTACAGTTAAACTTTTGACAATGCTTCTCACAAACAAACCGTAAGAAAACATTTGAAAGGATTATATCATATTGTAATCTTAATCAATCTATATCATATTGAATATTATTATTGCTGAAATTCTAATTAGTAATCAATTTTTGTTGTTAAAGGAATTTCTCTAACCAATATTTTTCTTTTTTAGTAATTTACTACAACAGTGTATACTTGTCAGTCCAATGGGTAAGACTACTTGATGTTTTTCACCTTTAATTGGGGAAATCTCAGTTATTACATTTTGAAAAGATAAAACGAAAAAAAAACCTTTATTATATATATAGCAATACTCAATGTGAYGTAAGCCTTTGTTGATCATGTGCCAACYAGAAGACGATTGGCTGTTAGAACAAWGCRACTTGTGAAAAGCCATTCTGATCATGGTTGGCACATTAAC